GGGGTCCCCGCCTCCCCGGCCTTTGTTCGAAGCTCCCGGCCGATCCGCCTCGGTGCTGGGGACCCGCAGGGCCTGGGCGCAGAGCGGAGACCGCTCGGGACCTTACTCTGCTTGTGACGCCGCCCTCTGCGGCCACCCCTCATCCGGAAAGCGTTCACCGAACCGCTCCACTTTCTTTGTCTTTATTGATTCGCTCATTTGTCGGTACCGGGCATTGAACTCGGGAGGCCGGGGGCACCGCTGAGCTACGCCCCGGCTGGACCACTTTCCACAGAAAGGAAACTCAGCCGTCCTGTGCATCGCGCTCACGGGGGTCGTGCGAATGCGGTGCACACGCGTGTGTCCTCCCTCCGTGTGAGGTAGACGTACAAATGACAGGTGTACGCCCGCGTGCACACGCGTGTGCTCAGCACACACGCACAGGCCGCTCTCGTCCAGGCTGCTCCCCCAGCTCTCTTATGTTTTGGATTAAAAAAAAAAAAAAAACAGGCTCTTGCTAGGCAGCCCGGCCTGGCCTTGAACCGGTGGCGATCCTCCCGCCTCAGCCTCCCGAGTGCTGCGATGACAGGCGTGCGCCACCACGCCCAGCTCTCCATGATGTTTTGCCCAGGTGTCCGCTGCAGCAGCAAAAATCTAAAGCGGTAGCCTGGGCTACATAGTGAGTTCCAGATCAGCCCCAACTACATAGTGAGACCCTGTCTCAAAAAACCAAAACCAAAACCAAAACCAAAAAATACCATTTAAGCACTCACTGTATCTTATCCCATGTGAGGCACACATAGCACATAGTACTTATAGCTATGTGCTGCATAAGCCTGTATTTCCCACAGGTACACGAAGACATAGACATACAAACACATGTACATATTCACGTGTGCTTTTGCGTGTCTTTCGGATACGTATGAACTATGTTCTATGTGTTTTTCTCTTCCTGCAGCACTCGTGCCCCCTGGCACAGGAGCTCCCAAGGCTCTGGGGGTTCAGTGCAGCTGCCCCAGGGGGACACATGTGGTAGAAGACAACAATCCTCTGTGCAATGGGCGGTCGCAGTGGGTCGTGTATTCATTCAACAAACACCCTTCGTGTCTCCGTACTCTGGGCGTGGCCATATGGATGGGATTCAGCAGTGTCTGCAGCACACCCAGGAAAAGCCGGCCGGCGGAAGGAGACCCCAGAGAGCCCTTGGGCTAAAATTCTGAAGGCCCCTCGCCCTCCTTTGTGTGGAAAATTCACCAGAACGGCTCGTGGGAACTCCCCAAAACTGTGCCTGTGATCTCAGCCCCACCATCGGGAAAGGGATGTGAATAAAAGTCAGCCAGGGCCAGGGATAGACAGACCGGGCCTCCTTTCTCCCCAGCCCTCAGATTCCTGAACAGCATCCACACCCGAGCGAGCCCACGGAGGGAGGGAGGGAGAGAGGGAGGCAGGGCTCCCAGCGCAGCTCTTTTAAATTTGTTTATTTTTGTCTTGTTCTGTTTTGTTTGCCGGGTGTGGTGGGGAACCGCCCGTCATCCCAGCACCCAGGAGGCTGAGGCAGGAGAGTTGCTGTGTGTTTGAGGCCAGCCTGGGCTACACAGTGAGTTCAGGTCAGTCTGAACCGCATATCGAGGCCCCATCTCCAGAAAAAATTATATATCATTCTTTTTAAATTTTAAGACAGTGTCTCACTAAGTTAGCAAGTTGCCCAGGCCGGGCTCGAACTTGTGATCTTCCTGTCTCAGCCTCCCGTGGTTCTGGAGCGATGTCTGCGCCAAACGGGTGCAATGAAGCCGAGGGAGAGAGGAGGTGGGTTCTGTAAGGAGAGCAGAGGCCGTGGGAGGAGGACGCGGAGGGGTTGTGGAAGGGGCAGAGGGGATCCGGGGGAATCCGACACCCGGCCCCTGCTCTCAGACGGAGCTGCCCCCGGGGCTCCCCGACCTCACCTCTGGCTCCACACTTTGCAATTCAAGTGAAGGCCGCTTCTGTACCCCTGGGGCAAGCGCTCTCTTTCATCTTGCACCTCCCTCCTCCTGTGCGGTTCTCGAGCAGATCAAGCAGATCAGCAGAAGAAATCAGGTGTTTCCTGGAGCCCAGTGTTTGTTTATGAGTCCCATCCTCCTCCCCCCTCCCCC